ACTTTGAGGAGATGCGCCCTGGAGGCTCATCACGTGGTGTGTGCTTGGGCAGCAGCTCATCAAGTGCCGGTGAAGTCTTGTGACATGACTAGCGCTCATGCGGCAGCCTCAGGAGGACTTCCGGACGTTTCCCCAAAGGCGTATTTGCTAGTTAGGATACCAGTCTATGGCTTGACTGACAGTTGTCGAGGTTTCTGGTTGCAAGTGAGTACAGATGCAGCGGCGTGCGGGTTGACATCGAGTAGGATGATTCCTGCGTTCTATTATCATGTCACGGATAGCAGAGTAGATGCAGCGATGACCATTCACGTGGATGATTTCTTGTATGCCCGCACTGAACTCGGAAGGGTTACTATCGAGACCTTGTTGAGCAAGTTTGTCGTCGGAAGCAGCGAAGAAGGTAACTTCAGGTATTGTGGAAAGCGTGTTAGTGTTAGTCAAAAGAAGGACGGCGCGATTAGAATCAACGTGGATGACAACACCAGGAAGTTGAGCATGATCAAGATCGAGGCAGGCAGAAAAATGACCGATGCAGTCGACCCATTGGAGCTGTCGCAGTTGAGGTCGGTAGTTGGATCTCTTTCGTGGATTGCCAGGCAGGGACGCCCTGATCTTTTGTACAGGACGTCGAGGTTGCAGTCTTTGACCAAGGCAGCCACTGTGGCTACCTTGAAAGAGTCCAACAAGACCGTCGAGTTGGCGTTGGAAGGCATAGGGTCGCGTCGGTACTTCCATGCGGGAAGGCTTGGCAAAATGTCGGTATTCTGACGGTCACAGATGCTTCTTTTGCAAATGAGGATAACCACAAGTCACAACAGGGGCGTTTCCATTTCTTGGTATCCAGTGAGCAGGCAAGGGATCAGAATTGCGAGACGTTTGAGGTAGTGCCTTTGGGATTTGCATCGAGCACGATAAAGCGGGTCTGTGGTGCAACCATGCAGGCAGAGACGCATGCTTTGCAGAATTGGATCGAGAGCGGTGACAAGCTCCGAGCAGTGATATGTGAGACACAGGGGCGATTGAAGGATTTGACCGGTTGGTGTGAGATCATCAAGAAGTATGTCCCACACATACTTGAACGATTGCAGATCGCTTGTGTCCCATTTGAAAACAGAGGTTCCACCGAAGATAGCAGACAAGAGACTATCCTGTGAAATAGCAGCCATCAGACAATCATTGTGGAATGAAGACGGAACGCGTACAGCAGTATCGCATTCGCTGGATTGCAACTGCTACTATGGTTGCGGACTGCTTCACGAAGCCAATGAAGGCGGACTTCATGTGGAAGGTGATCAACACTGGAGTTTACACGGTTGAGACAGATCCGAACGAGAAGCCGTGAGAGAAATGTGACCGAGTGTCGCATCTTTTTTGCTGTAAAGCGGTTCAACACCTGAAAGCAGGTTGAGTGTGAATTCTCCCTGTGATTTGTATAGATTGAAGCCAGGGTGTTGAACATGTAGCGCGTGACTGGGCCATTCTGATTCGAGGGCCCTTGAGTCATAGCGGGTGATAGGAAAATCGAGAGCCCGATTTGCTTGCTACATTCACACTTGCCATTCTCAGGCCGGAGGTGCGCGAGCGCGCTTCGCATACTACTTTTGTACTTAGTTTCAACGAAAACCACAGCGAGAGCGATCCGACACGCACGATCCTCGCAGAGGGTTCGTCGGCCAGCGTGCAAATTCGCACGGCGCCGCAGCGAGAGCGATCCGACACGCACGATCCCCGCACAGGGTTCATCGGCCAGCGTGCAAATTCGCACGGTGCCACAGCGAGAGCGATCTGACACGCACGATCCCCGCAGAGGGTTCGCCGGCCAGCGTGCAAATTTGCACGGCGCCACAGCGAGAGCGATCCGTCGGCCAGCGTGCAAAGTCGCACGGCGCCACAGCGAGAGCGATCCGACACGCACGACCCCCGCAGAGGGTTCATCGGCCAGCGTGCAAATTCGCACGGCGCCACAGCGAGAGCGATCCGACACGTACGATCCCCGCAGAGGGTTTGTCGGCCAACATGCAAATTCGCACGGCGCCACAGCGAGAGCGCTCCGACACGCACGATCCCCGCAGAGGGTTCGTCGGCCACGTAGAAAGTTCGCACGGCGCCGCAGCGAGAGCGCTCCGACACGCACGATCCCAGCAGAGGGTTCGTCGGCCACGTAGAAAGTTCGCACGGCGCTGCAGCGAGAGCGCTCCGACACAGAGGGTTCGTCGGCCACGTAGAAAGTTCGCACGGCGCCGCAGCGAGAGCGCTCAGACACGCACGATCCCCGCAGAGGGTTCGTCGGCCACGTAGAAAGTTCGCACGGCGCCACAGCGAGAGCGCTCCGACGCGCACGATCCCCGCAGAGGGTTCGTCGGCGAGCTTTGACATTCGCACGGCGCCACAGCGAGAGCGCGCCGACACGCACGATCCCCGCAGAGGGTTCATCCCGCCAGCGCCCGCCAGACCTGCCCCCGGCTAAGAAAGAAGATAGAATTAAAGGCTGCGAGCTTCGGCTGGGTAAGCTAGGCTGTGTAAGTCAGGCTGCGTGAGCTAGGCTGCGTAACTCAAGCTGCGTATAAGTCGGGCTGCTGTAAGTCAGACTGCGTAAGTCAGGCTGCGTAAGCTAGGCTGCGTAAGTCAGGCTGCGTGAGCTAGGCTGCGTAACCTGCGTAAGTCAGACTGCGTAAGTCAGGCTGCGTAAGTCAGGCTGCGTAGGTCAGGCTGCGTAAGTCAGGCTGCGTAAGTCAGGCTGCGTGAGTCAGGCTGCGTACGTCAGGCTGCGTGAGTCAGGCTGCGTAAGCTAGGCTGCGTAAGTCAGGCTGCGTAAGTCAGGCTGCGTAAGTCAGGCTGCGTGAGTCACGCTGCGTAAGTCAGGCTGCGTGAGTCAGGCTGCGTAAGTCAGGCTGCGTAGGTCAGGCTGCGTAAGTCAGGCTGCGTAAGTCAGGCTGCGTGAGTCAGGCTGCGTAAGCTAGGCTGCGTAAGTCAGGCTGCGTAAGCTAGGCTGCGTAAGTCAGGCTGCGTAAGTCAGGCTGCGTAAGTCAGGCTGCGTGAGTCACGCTGCGTGAGTCACGCTGCGTAAGTCAGGCTGCGTGAGTCAGGCTGCGTACGTCAGGCTGCGTGAGTCAGGCTGCGTAAGCTAGGCTGCGTAAGTCAGGCTGCGTAAGTCAGGCTGCGTAAGTCAGGCTGCGTGAGTCACGCTGCGTAAGTCAGGCTGCGTGAGTCAGGCTGCGTAGGTCAGGCTGCGTAAGTCAGCTTGAGTAAGTCCCGCCGCGTAAGCTAGGCTGCTTAAGTCAGGCTGTGTAGTCGGCGACCGTTTTTTCCAAAGAACCCTTCGCGATGCTTTCGGGAAAAGAGACGTCCAACAGTTTGAGACGCCTTCAAAATAGTGTTCGACCGGATGTTCGGAACCTTCCATTCTCAGGGCCACCTCTTGCCGGTTCCTGGGTGTTTCAATCCATGGGGCTCCCTCGCAGGGCAAGGGAAACCCCGAAATTTCCTGGGAGCACGAACATTGCCTGAAATAGACCCCATACCACAAACAGTCCGACCAAAGCCCTGACACTTGCCCACCGCTCCCCTGTGCTGAAAGTGGTGCGCGGCGGTTTCCGCAACACAAGTTTCGTAATCCACCGTCAGGTGGCTCAGATGTATTGCGGATCGAAGTGGAAAGCCTTTGAGAACCAAAATGGAAAGCTCGACCAGAAACATTGAACACATGGAAAGTAGAAGCTGACTTTTAGTGAAAACAAACTGCTCGCTTTGCACTCAAAAAAAGCAACAGCATACACCTGTCTTCAGCTCGCCAGTGTTGAGTGCTTCTGCTCGCCAGTGTTGAGTGCAATTTGGAGGTGTCTCTAGAATCCGTAAGGTTTGCTCTCAGAAAAGATCGGACTGTGTTCCCCAAAACAAGAGCTGATACCAAGATGTGTTTGTTTGTCCCCTGGCCGTTCCCTTTTCAAAATGTTCTAACAGCCTCCCGAAGCTGGCTGTCAAGGAGAGGACCTGAAACCGGAGTGCTTGCCTAGTCGGAGCAACCGTCGCTGTGATTGGTGGGTGCCAGCAAGGGACGAGCAGCTTAAATGTATTGCTGCACCTGCTGATTGTCAGGAAATTGGACAGCCGTGTGAAACGCAGGGCAGGATCAGCGGCCTGTAGGCTTGTATCATTGGTGAGTGGGCCTTGTCTAGGCGCCAGATGCCAACACATTGGTGCGAGCCGGGCACTTCTTGTAAGACCAGCCTGCGGACTCCCCAAAGCTTTGGGGTTCGACTTGTTTCCCAACTCGAAAACATTAAGTTTTAGGCAAACCGTAAAGTAGGTACGTGAAGTTTTAGGCAAAACGTACACAGGGAAAGTCACGACCACCTCACGAGACGGTGAAGTTTCGACCGTGGAAAGCAGTCCACACGCACTTTGTGAGCTCAAAGCACATTGGAGCTTTCTCCAAAGTAGAGCGCCCTGGGCCCCTAGCAATGGTCGATTGTTAGTTGCTCTTCAACATGTCAAATGGGAGGCTCCTTTTTTTGAGACACTACTCCCATCTGTCCACGGGTCTGTTGGCCTTGTCCAACCAGGATTGCCTAATTGATGATTGAGGTCTGTTCAACCACTTCCTCCAACCCAAGCTTTGCGCGATCGTGGCGGCGTCAACCATCCAAATGGCAGTGATCCTGCCTCGCAGCAGTTTGTCTTTAGACTTGGATTAAGCCTTACGCTGTGCAATTGCTCCAACCTGGCAAGGTAGACTCAGCTTGTGGACTTGCAGCCAAGCCCTCCCGTTTCCACCTTGCCTTCAACCTTCCACGTCAGCCTCCCTTTCACCCCTTTAGCACTGGGCCTTCCGAACGGAATGAAGGTGGCGCTGTCTTGAAACCATTCTCGGGGTCGGGAAATCCGCTGCGGCGTCAAAAAGTCAGCTTTAGTGAGAGGCGCGACGGTGTTCTTTGGCTATGTTACAATTGTTGAGGGGTGCGTGGATCTCAA